GCTGATGGCAAAACAGACAATCAATTGCTCACATGCAAGTTCAGGTTGAAGCAAAAGTAAATTACAAGTACTAAAGAGCTAAAATACAACCTTGAGTCTATCCCACCTGAATTTAGAGGCCATTGTAAGAACATATTTGATATATTGAACACTAATGACTGAAGTCTAGACATACTAGAACCCCATAAACAAAAAGAGTAAAAAGTCATTAATAAGACAGGAAATAAAGAAAAGACCATGCCCGAAGCAACTTTGAAACTTGTTCTTGAACATAAAATATTTATGGTGAATAGAAGAAATGATAAAGTAAAGGGGCTGAACAGAAAATCTCAAAAGGCAGCCGGAAAAGATAAAGCATTAAAATGAAATGTGCAAAGCCCTACCATTAGAAAATCAAAAAAGAATATAGGAAGCATATCTCAAATTGAAAGAACTGAAGAAAAACATCAAGCCTTGTGTTGTAATATTGAGGGTTTTTATGGACAAAACATTGAAGGTTGCAAGAAGTATAAAAATAAGATGGAAGTAATAGACAGACTTACTGTACCAAAAAGAATTAGTTAAAATTCAACCATTACAAAAGGTAAAATATGATCAGGAACTAATGGTAATGAAGAAAGAAGTCACAGTTGTACTGAAGGCATTAGCCAAAATACAACTCCAAGAATTGATGGGCTATCAAGTGAAATTTCTCTTGAAACATGTAACACTGGGAGTGAGCAGTCAGAAGTCTTTGCCAATAAACATGAAGGAATCTGCCTGGGGAAAGTGGAAAAAATTCATATTTCTGCTCATTCCCACAAAGGTGATGTAACATTATGTGTATAAATTATCACACAGTAACATTAATGTTACATGCAAGTAAAGTTTTGCTGAAGATAATTCAAACAGGGTTGCAGCGGTGCATTGACCAGAAACTGCCAGAAAAGTCAAGGAGGACTCAGAAGAGGACATGAAACCAAAGATATCACTGCTGATGTCAGATGGAAATTGGCTGAAACAGAGAAAGCCATAAAGATGGTTACTGGCATTTTCTGGACTATACAAAGGTATTCAATAGTATGGATCATTAAAAAAAATAAAACTATGGCCCAAAGCCAATCTGTAAGCAATTGGCCATCCCCTTACAGAAGGGTTGTGGGGAGAAGACGGGCCAGTCAGGGTGCAGTATAGCACCAGTGAAACATACAACTTTCCTCTGGTTCTTTAATGCTTCCTCCCCCACCCCCACTATCATGATCCCAATTCTACCTTACAAATCTGGCTAGACCAGAACATGTACATGGGTACAGATAAGAGCTGGAAACACAGGGAATACAAGACAGATAAACTCCTCGGTACCAATATTGAGATTAGGTGTACCAGGAGCGTAAGGGGAAGGTAGGGGGAGAAAGGGGAAACTGATCACAATGACCTACCCATAACCTCCTCCCAGGGGCATGGACAACAGACAAGGGGGCAAAGGGAGGCATCAGACAGTGTAAGACATGACAAAATAATAATAATTTATAAATTATCAAGGGTTCATGGGGAATGGAGGGAGGGGGAAAGAATGAGGAGCTGATATCAAGGGCTCAAGTAGAAAGAAAATGCTTTGAAAATGATGATGCAACATATGTACCAATGTGCTTGACACAATGGATGGATGTATGGATTGTGATAAGTGTTGTACTAACCCCCAATAAAATTATTTAAAATAAATAAATAGATGAACTTGGATTTTAAAATAAAGCTATTTTGTACCAAAAACATAAAAATAAATTAAAATATAAAACTATGGATAATATTGCAAAGGAATTTCAGAACACTTAATAGTGCTCATTCAGTATCTGTATACAGACCTTATTCTAACAAAGCAAGGAGCTAAAACATTGCTTAAAACCAAGAAAGATGCATAGTAGATTTGTCTCCTTTCATCATACGTAGTCACTCTGTATGCTAAGCAAATAACCAGGAAAGATGGCCTTTGTGAAGAACATATCCTGAGGATTGGCAGGAGACTCATAAGCAACCTGTGACATGCAGGTGACACAACCTTGTTAGCTGACAACAAAGAGAAGCTGAACCTACAGGTGAAAGGTTAAGACACTATTCAGTATGGCAACACCACCACAATGTAAAGAAAACAAAAATCTTCAAAAGGGGGCAATTAACAATATTATTTTAAAAATCATTTTATTGGGGGCACTTACAGGCATTATACCAATCCATAAATCAAGTATATCCAGCGAACTCGTACAGATGTTGTCATCATCATTTCAAAACATTTTCTTGCTACTTGAGCCCTTTGATATCAGCTCCTCCTTATTCCCTCCCTCCCCTCCCTAGACAATATTATAATGAATGGAGAAAGATCAGAATAGTCGAGGACATCATTTTACTTGGATCCATGGTCAACACGTGTGGAAGCAGCAGTCAAGAAATCAAACAACTTATTTCGTTGAGAAAATCTGCACAAGATTTCTTTACGCTATTAAAGTTCAATGACGTCATTTTGAGGATTGTGGTGTGCCTAACCCAAACCCAGCTCTTCTCAGGGACTGTATGGGCATGTGAGAGCTGGACAATGTGTAAGAAAGGCAACGGAAGAATAAAGGAGTTGGAATTATGGTACTGATGAGCATTGGAAGCATCGTGGGCTGCCAGAAGAGCAAACAAACTCTCTTGGAAGAAGAACACCCTTCAGAGGAAAGGATGTGAGATTTGGAGTCACGTGCTGTGGAGATCAGACTTGGTCAAACAGCAGATCAGAAATCTTTGAGGGACAAACACAGGGGCTTCAGCAATGGGCTCACATAGAATCACTGGGAGGATGGCACAAGACAGGGCAGTGTTTCCTTATGTTGTACATAGAGCAGCAGTTCTCAACCTGTGGGTCATGACCCCTTTGGGGGGTCCAATGACCCATTCACAGGGGTTGCCTGATTCATAACAGTAGCAAAATTACAGTTATGAAGTAGCAACGAAAATAATGTTATGGTTGGGGGATCCCCTCCGCATGAAAGGGTCATGGCATGAGGAAGGTTGATTCAGAATCACTGACACAGAGTCACCATGAGTTTGAGTTCACTTGATGGCATCTAACAACAACATTAATAATCAATTTCTTTTATTCCGAGTACCTTCTTTATCTTTGTATATGGCATGGTTTCCCCTGGTTAGCGACTCCTCTCATCACACCTGCTCAATCTGGCTTAAATGAAGAAAGAATGTGGTATCAAGATTGGAGGAAGGCTTATTAACAACCTGTAAAGTGCAAATGATACAAGCTTGCTTGCTTAAAGTGAGGTGGAATTGAAGCATTTGCTGATGAAGATCAAGGATTACAGCCTTCCGTATGGATTACGACCCAATGTAAAGAAGACTCGGACCAATATGTCGCATCGTGATAATGGAGAAAAGGCTGACATCGTCTAGGATTTTGTTTTGCTTGGATTCCCAAACACTGCTCATGGAATCATCAGTCAAGATATCAAAAGAAGGGTGGCATTGGGTAAATCTGCCGCACAAGACCTCTTTAGAGCATTGAAATTTAAAGGAGGTTATTTGGAGGAATAGGGTACACCTGACTGACCCAAGCCAGGGCATTTTCCATCGCCCACTGCCCATGTAAAAGTCAGACACTGAATAAGGAAGACCAAAGAAGAATCGATACATTTGAATTGTGCTGTTAGAGAAGAATATTGAAAGTACCAGGGACCGCAAAAAGGACTTTAAAAAGTTTGCCTTGGAAGAAGTACAGCCAGAGTGCTCCTGAGAGATAAGGATGGCAAGACTTCATCGTCCATACTTTGGACATGCTGTCAGAAGAGACCAGTCCCTGGAGAAGAACATCATGCGTGGTGAAGTGGAGGGGCAGTGAAAAGAGGAAGGTCATGGGTGAGATGGCTTGACCCAGTGGTTGGAACAATGAGCTCGGGTATGGGAGCAATTAGGATGATGGTGCAAGACCGTGCAGTGTTTGGTCCTGTTGCGCATAGGGTCACGGTGTGTCCCCTCCAACTCTGCAGCACCTGACGACGACACTGTAGCAGATAGGAACCCCGTGGGTGCAGCAGTTTGTGTCACTTCAAACACACTAGCCACTTCGCAGGATAAAGATGAGTCCGTCTGTTCCAGTAAAGATACACAGTCTTAGAAACTCTTTAAGGAGCAATTCCACTGTGCCATAAAGGGTCACTATGAGTCTGAATCACGTGGATGGGAATGGGCTGGGTTTGGGTTGGGTTGGCAAATCTCCTCTATACCTGCTACAAGCATGTCTTCTGCATTTCTTCTGCATTTCTTGTTGAAAGCAGTGAATGGGAGTTCCAAAGAGGGATCTCTGGCAAACCATTAACTTTTATCTGTTCACATTGTTAGCAATGCGTTATTATCTATCTCAGTGAGTCAGGTATCTACGTTTTCTATATCCATCTAGCTTACATTTTACCCTTTTATCGGAAATGTTGTTTCCTGCGACTTTATAAAGTCCCTTGTCAAAAGTGAGATCAATTTTCTTCTAGGGAGCAAACTCCTGGTAATCACCGAGATGGCATTACAAGTGTGACAAAAGAACTCTGAAAATACAGAATATAAATCCAACAAGGAAACAGCAAGGTACTGTTTCACAAATGCCGAAAATAATCTGGGGTGTTACAGACCGTGCTAACGGAAGTGGATCCAAGTGACACGCTTTGAGCCATTGCTTTGCCCTCTGCTGCAAAGGTGTGCATTTTTGTGGACTAAGTGGAGATATTAAAATTAGAGTGTCTCATTGGTGGAGAAGTAGGCCATGAACAAATTAAAATTCCTGCTTTTTTAACCCTCTCCAATAACTGCAAAGATGGCCATCATGAATGTTCTCCAATATGTATTTGTAACCTTTAAAATAAAGTACTGAGACAGCTTTTCCTTTTCTGTTTACTTACATGCTGGTAAGTAACGTTCTGTCCAAGCACGTGAATGGAAAGAAAGCGTATTCATTATTTTTTTTACTGAGGGGAAAATCAAACAAATACCTGGGGACATCTGGCAGCACTGTAGCAGTCTCCAGCTGTGGCAAATGGAACTGCCTTTCCCAAAACTGTCTGGGAAAAAAGGAAGTCGGTAGCTAGAGAAGAATAATGGAAACTCGTTAGCCTCACGATTGTTTTGCAATTGTCATTGAAACATTTTATCTTTTTCATATTAATTTCTTATGTATATTCATTTTTCATTCAAATTGTAAAATAAAAATTGTCACATAACCAAAGTATTTATCATAGGCTTTCAATAAATCCATTCTCTGTAATACAAAAACTTTCATCTCATATTTGCCTTATGTAATGACGGGTA